TTCTTCTTCTTCTTCTTCTTCTTCTTCTTCTTCTTCTTCTTCTTCTTTCTCTTCCTCTTCCTCTTCCTCTTCCTTCTTTTCCTCTTCTTCCTCCAGGTTCCTATTCTTCTCCTTCTCCTTCTTCTCCTTCTCCTTCTTCTCCTCCTCCTTTCTCGTCCTCCTCTCCCCCTCCTTCTCTTCCTCTTTTTCCTCCTCTTCCTCCTCATCATTGTCTTCCTCATTTTCCCCTTCTTCTGCCACTTCTTCCTCCAGGCTTCTATTCTTCTTCTTCCTCCCACTTTACCTCTCCCTCTCCTTCTTTTTCTTCCCCTCCTCCTCTTCCTCCTTTCTATTCCTATTCACCCTCCTTCTCTTCCTCCTTTTCCTCTTTTCCTCTTCTTCTTCCTCTTTCTCCAGGTTTCTCCTCCTCCTCCTTTTCTTCTTCTTCCTCCTCCTCCTCCTCGCTCTAGGTTTCTACTCCTCCTCCTTGTTCTCCTCTTTGCCTTGCTCTTCTTCCTCCTCTTCCTCCTCCTCCTCCCCCCTCTAGCTTTCTATTCCTCCCGCTTGTCCTCCTCCTTCTCTTCCTCTTTTTCCTCTTCTTCCTCTTCCTCCTCCTCTTCTTCCAGATTCTTCCTCCTCTTCCTCCTTGTCCTCATTTTTTTTCTCCCCCCTCCGTTTGCCACCCCAAATATTTCAGGACCAAAACGGCATCCGCTCAGAGGTGGTATTCAGCCAGGTCGTACCAGTTCTGGTGTAACCGGTAGCGAAAATTTTGACTGGTTCAGAGAACCAGCAAATACCACCTTTGACTAAGCCTGCCCACCTGCCCTGGTCTCTCCTATATTCCCTTGTTTTTTTAGCTCAGCTGATTCGCACAATAGAGTGGATTGCCATGTCTCAGCTGAGCTGAAAACACCAGCTCAACTTACTCACCCCTGTTTGAACCAAGGTCGGTCTTTGAGCCCCACGCGCATATGCGTCGGAGTGCGTTTCAGGCATGTGCACATAGAATTGCTCACAGAACTGGTAGGAAGAGAAATTGAAAACCCACCTCTGGCATTGGCCCATAGGTCAAATCTCCCTCGGAGAAACGTCCTTCACCCACAGGGCTACAGCCGCAATCTGTGCGCTGGTGTTCTAGTGTCCTCTGTGCTGCCACAGCTGGCACGCCCCCCCCATGCCGTTTGCATCGCAGTGATTCGACAGAGTGACTAAGAGATGTTTGATGAAATCACCCTGTGACCTGTCTGTCTCTACGTCCCAGGATAGGTTGATTTCATTGACTGTCTCTGCCACGCGATTCCAGCTGTCTCTGTTCTGATCCAGGCTTCCTAAACCGTAATTATTCTCAAACTTGTTTTTAAAGCAAAACCTCTTTTATTGCAACGCTGGGAATTGTTTTCATTCTCAGTCGGAATTAAGCTCAAACAGTCCAACAAGATAAGCACCCACCTTTCAGTTCTGTGGCATGCTGCCAAAAACAGAAGTATCCAATTAACTAAAAAAGAAACCAACCAAAGTATAAGAAAAAACAACCAAAGTACAGAGATCTTCAAGGGGGACTCAGGACCGATCGAACAACATTGCTTCCTGCAAAGGTTTTGTTATCTTGGCCTGACTTTTATCCCTTATGGGAGGGGCAATCATCTTCCAGCCTTATTCCTGAGTCACCCCTTTGTCTCAGCTGCTCTTGCCTTCTGGCAGTTCTGGGCACATGCGCGCTGGGACCAGGCTCCCCTGGATCCTCTGCCTTGCTGCTGCCAGACTCCAGAGGCCCTGGAGTTAGCACCCCTCTCCCAGGTGGTCCGGGCCTTATCTCTGCATTGGATGCAGGACCCTCGTCCGAGTGCTCCCAAGACTCCCAGATGGTCCCTGTTCTTCCCCACTGTCCAATTCTACTGCCATCTGCACCGGCTGCTGGCAAACCACAACAGTGTCGCTCTTGTGGATAGGAGTGTCCTGGCTACCCTACAAGTAGGATAGGACCTAGAACAGCGATGGCAAACCTTTTCGGCACTGAGTCACAAACTGGAATGTGTGAGTGCAGGTGTGTACGCCGGAGCACCGGAAACTGAAAGCCAGCTGGCCTTTGCGTGCACCGGAGCAGCAGAAACCCAAAGGGCAGCTGGTGCATCAGAAACCATCAGAGCACCTGGCAATGGCACGTGTGCCCACAGAGAAGGCTCTGCATGCCACCTCTAGCACATGTGCCACACATTCGCCATCAAGGATCTAGAACAACCTAGAACTCAGAAGAAATTTTCTGATGGTGAGAACAAATCAACCGATGGAACAGACGTTGCGGGAGCTTCATCCTTGGAGGCTTTCAAGAAGAGATTGGATTGTCATCTGTCAGGAATGGTGTCGGATCTCCTGCTTGGGCGAGAGGGGGGTTGGACTAGATGATCTACCAGGTCCCTTCCAACTCTGCTAATCTGTTAATCAACTCTGTTAATCTGATACCAGGAGACCAACCCTGGTGGACAGTTGCCGGGAAGCTGAAGGCCTCTGGGGGACCAAAGGGATGAACGTGAGTGGCCCAAGAGACTATCATCAAGCGGGCATAGCTTGGGACTGAAAGATTGGAAAGGCTCCGCCTCAGTCGAATGTCTCACGCCCTGCGAAGAACAGCTAGTCATTGATGTTTAGTTTAGTTTACGTTATTGTCCTTGCACCTCGTACGATGAAATCAAACATCATCCTGAGGGCACACTATGATCATGAAAATAAACACAAACATCCTTCACGCTCCACACATTGAATTGGAAACCCCTGATATTGCATTAATATTGCACCATACAGCAGAATTCAAAAGAGCTCCTGCCCTGGGAAAGACGCTGTTTTTCAGCCCTATTTGTCCTTGTTTTTATTATTGTCCTCTACCGTCTGCCAGATGGTAATAGTTCAAAAAAAGGGTTCCCAGGATGAGGTGAATCTTTGAGGATGGTTTGACCTTCCTTAAGGCAGCGGGAGCTATAAAGCTCTTCCAAAGAGGGGAGAGGGCACCCCATGATCTTCTGGGCAATGACATTCACCCTCTGGAGTGGCTGTCCGATCTGCCATGGTGCAATGGGCAAACCCTACACAGGTGTGCAGGAAGTTCAGATACTCTCCCTGGTGCAGCGGTAGAAGGTCACCAGCAGTTTCTCATTCCGTTGTTGTTTCCTGAGCAGTCTCAAGTAGTATAATCTCTGCTGGGCCCTTTTGACCAGGGCTGCAATGGGGGCACCCCACCAGGTCAGGTCCTCTTTTAGGGTAACACCCAGAAACTTAAAACTGGCCACCTGCTCCACTCGGTCTCCCTTGATAAGCAAGGGCTGGATGTCTGATCTGTTCCTTCTATATAGTCCACTATAAGCTCCTTGGTCTTATTGGTGTTGAGGACCAAGTTACTGTCTCCACACCACGAAAGCAACCATTGGTTCACATCATCTCGGCAGGCAGACTCGTCCTGCCCCCCCGGAGAGGAGCCCCACCATGTACGACCGCAATTGACCCCAACATTTCGGTGGCTAAGTGAGATGCTTGTGAGGTGAATGGGGGCCTCATTTTTAACCAGCATTCTTTCCCTCATTGTTACGTGAATTGCAGCAGGGTTTAAATTCATCCCACCATTGTGAAAGCGACTCTGGCATCCCACCTGTGACTTTGCTTGTCAGACGTGCTCAACAGGGGGAAATTGTGCGACTTTGAGACCCTGCAACTGTCGTAAATACACACTGGTTGCCAGGTCGTCTGAATTTTGATTATGTGGTCATCGGGGATGCTGCAGAACCCGCCCCCCCGCCCAACCCTTACGGCCACGTCATTGAAATTCAGGCCCGTGGTCCGGAGTCCCTTTTCCCAGCGCCATTGCAACTTCCAAACAGTCATGAAACGAACGTGACTCAAGAAAGGTGGCGTTTCCTAGAAGTCAAGTGGATGACAACAGGGCAAAGCTGGAGCTGAGATCCATGCGCCGAATTCTCCAAGTGAAACGTTCTTCATCAACGTCATTTTCAGTGCCATTGTAACTTCCAACAGTGACTAAACTTACCTTGCCATCGTAAGCAGAGGTGGTGTTCGGCTGGTTTGGACCGGTTCTGGCATACCGGTAGTGAACATTTTGAGTTGTTCGGAGAACCGGCAAATGCCACCTCCGGCCCCCACCCTATCCTCTCTTATAGTCCATTGCTTTTTTAGTTCAGCTGATTTGCCCGGCACAGCAGATTGCCGCAACTCAGCTGAGCTAAAAACTAGCGCTGACAGAGGGTGTATTTTAATTGCTGCACCTGCGCACAAAGTATGCACAAAGCACAGTGTGATGACCCAAAGGGGCGTGGCACAAAGGAAACACAGTCAGTTAATCAATAAAAGTCCCTTTATTTGTTCCAACTTTGCCCCCCAATGTCCTGGTTATCTTCTGGCTGGAGGAAAACTCTCCCAGGAACAGCCTTTGGCTGCAGAGATTCAAGTCCAAAACATGGTCAACAAAAACTGTAACTATAAGTCCAATCAAGGCAAGATGAGTAATTAGTCCAGCAGGGCAGCAGCAAGAATTCTAGATGTGAAGGCACAGCCATAATTCAACAATGTTTGGAAGATGTCATTAATACAGATAAGCAAAGTCAACACAAGATAAACTCACGTTGGCTCCAAGAAGCTGCCACATGCAGCCTGCATGTCTCTTAAACTCTCATTCCCAGGTGTGGCTAATGAAGGGAATCAGGGCCCTTTCCTCCCTTGTAAGCCACGCAAACCCACGTTTCTCCCTTCTCCCTTCTTCCCTGCATGTCCCTAGGATGAAGATGCGGTGGGCCTGGGTCTTCCTCTGAACTCCCTCTCCCTTGTTCTTCCTATTCCCTGCTCTGCCCACCCAGACTTTGTCCTCCCCCACTCCGGCTCCCTGTCAGCTGTTCGTCTTCCTCCTGTTTTTCAGTGTTTGTGAGAACGGGGCCTGGAGTTGCACAGAGGAGACCTGCCCCAGTGCCGTCCTTTGTCCTGGAGAGTTGGTCTACGCCTTCAAAGCTTGCCTCCTCACCTGCGAGAGCCTCCTGAGCAACCTCAGCTGTGACGGCGCCTCTGATGGCTGCGTCTGCCCCCCTGGCACTGTCTTCCTGGTGAGTAGTCCAGAAACGCCATCCCTAACATTTGGGAATGTGGAATGTCCACCTGTCCTGCTGCAGGGGAGAGATTCTGTTCTGACCCAGGCTTCCAGAGACCGTAATTAAGCTCACGCTTGGTTAAAACAACTGTTTTTTATTTCAACAGCTGGGAATTCTGTTCATTCCCAGCCTGTAATGAGTCCCAAACAGTCCCTCGAGATAAGCACCCACCTTTCTCTCCCTTGAATTACTGCCAACAACTAAAGTGCCATATGAACTGTAAAAGCCCCAAACGGAGTACAAAGTCCCCACAGAGCTTCAAGGTTTAATTTGAACAGAGCGAACAACGTTGCCTCCTGCAAAGACTCCTGTCCCTTTGCCTGTCCTTTATCCCTTAAGGGAAGGGCAGTCACTTCCCAGCCTTACACCCGAGTCGCCCCTTTTGTCTCAGCTGCTCTTGTCTTCTGGCAGCTCTGTGCATGCACGCAGTGGGAACAGGCTCCGCTGGGTCCTCTGCCTCGCTGCCAACAGACTCTGGAGGCTCCAGAGACAGCACCCCACTCCCAGGTCACAAGGCCCCTTCCAACTCTGATTATCTGTTATCTGAATTGTCCCTCATTGTATCTTTGCGTTCACCTCGGACAAGCATGGCCTGCTTTCCTGCTGCAGGGACCTCTTCTTCCTGTCCCTTAACCAGGGCAAGGTAGGATGACGTGGGGTGTGACACAAAAATAACAAAGTCACAAAAGTAGAATAAATTCCCTTTAATGCCCCCAGCCTGGGCCCCAATGTCCAGTTATCCTCAGCTGGATATCAAACTCTTCCAAAAACAGTCTACAAAGGGGGTAAATGCAGTCCGAACCCAAAGTAAAGATAACTAGAAATTTTACAAAAACCAATACAAACCACACTGAAGTCATTAACATGACAGGCCAGGATGATACATTGCAGACTTCCAACAGATAATGCAGCAATCACAGTTGAGTGGATGCCAAAACCCAGATAAACCTCGACAAAGATAATGCACGCTTTGCTTCCAGCAAGGAGCTGTGTGCAAATGCCCCACTTACATCCTGTCCTCCCAGCTGTAACTAATGAATGGAATCGGGGCCTTTTCCTCTCCCATAAGCCATGTTGCTCCCTTCTCCGTTCCTCCCTGGGTGCCCTAGGATGAAGAGGGGGTGGGCCTGGGTCTTCCTCTGAATGCCCAGCCGGACTGTGCCCTTCCCCCATTTCTTCCACAGCCACTGGAGCCGCACTCCCACTCCCTGTCAGCTGCTCAATCTCCCCCTCAGAATCAAACTCCAACGAGGGCAGGACACTAGGTCTCTTTGGGGTGACAGGGGTGTGGCCCCCTCCATCACGCCCCTTCTCTCCTCTTGCAGAATGAGCATTGCGTGTCACCAGAGGAATGCCCCTGTCACCACAATGGCCACCTGTACCAGCCCAACGAGACCATCGCCACGGACTGCAACACTTGGTGAGGACACATCTGTTCAGGATACCCTCTGCCCAGAGCAGGGGTCCCGGGGGGCTCACAATCCTCTCTCTCTTCCTCCCTCCCCAGCATCTGCAGAAAGCAACGCTGGGAATGCAGCCGCCGCCGCTGTGCAGCCACCTGCGTAGCCACCGGAGACCCACACTACCTCACCTTCGATGGGCGGGTGTACACCTTCCTGGGGGACTGTGAGTATGTCCTGGTCCGTGAGAATGGCGGCGCCTTCACCATCACAGCTGAGAATGTCCCCTGCGGCACCAGTGGCACCACCTGCACCAAGTCCGTGGTAGTGCTATTAGGCAGCATGACGGTTCACCTGCTCCGAGGTAAATGTGGTTCGCCGGCAGCCAGTGCAGACAGCAGGGGAATAGGACAGTTGGGAAGAAAGGGGACCAGTCCGGGAATCTGGAGAGGACTCAGGTCAGGGTCCTGCGTCCGATGCGGAGATGGGGCCAGGACCACCTGGGAGTGGGGTGCTGACTCCGGAGCCTCCAGAATCTGGCAGCAGTGAGGCAGAGGACCCAGGGGAGCCCGCAGTGTGCATGTGTGTGCGCAGAGCTTCCAGAAGGCAAGAGCAGCTGAGACAAAAGGGGTGACTCGAGAGTAAGGCTGGGAGGTGATTGCTCCTCCCCTCAGGGATAAAGGACAGGCAAAGATGATGATACCTTTGCAGGAAGCAAAGTCATTCATTCAGTTCGGATTCATTCTTGAAGCTCTTTGTGCTTCAGTTGGTTTCTTTTCTAGTTCATTTGACACTTCTGTTATTGGCAGCCCTCACAGGGAAGAAAGGTGGGTGCAGTGGTCGGATTCTACCAGTTCGCACCTATTCGCTAGAACCAGTTGTTAACCTTCTAAGCAGTTCGGAGAACCGGTTGTTAGAAGAAATTCCTGGCTTAATCCTGTAAGGAAGGCAGGAAGGAAACATTCTGGTGTTGCTTACAGAAATTGCCTCTCCGTTAAGCCTTATTACATTCTTGGCAGGACTAGACTTCCTGTCTCTGGAACTTCCCTGGAGGTTTTTTCCCCTCCTTTGCTGGTACTTTGCTTGTGTGGAGGGACCATTCAAAGTTACAATGGCACTGAAAAAAATGACTTATGACCATTTTTCACACTTACAACTGTTGCAGCATCCCCACAGTCATGAGAGGCCAGGCGAGGAGATGCATGTCTCGATGTGAGTGATATTGAGTTGGCCACACCCGGCCAATAACATGACCTCCAAGGCACGCCCACCAACTTAGCCACGCCCACAGAAACAGTTGTTAAAAAATTTGAATCCCACCCCTGGGTGGGTGCTTATCTCAAGGGACTGTTTGAGATTGATTACCGGCTGGTAATGAAAATAAAACAATAAAACAAGACTTTATTTTTAAAATAAGTGTGTGCGTAATTACAGTCTCAGAAACCTTGTTCAGAACAGTAAACTGTCGCAGGCAGGTAAGGAGGCTGTCATACCCACGGCAGCTTCGTGCCCTTCTTGAATCCTCCTCCTCTCTGCTTGCACCAGGAAAGGACGTGACCGTGAATGGCGTCTCGGTGCGGCCACCCAAGACCTACAGCGGGAATGGGTTGACCGTGGAGAGAGCCGGCCTCTTCCTGGTGCTCCTCACTCAGATGGGCTTGACGGTGCTCTGGGATGGAGGTGAGGTGCGGCCAGGCAGCCCCATTTCTCATTCCCAGCCAGATAGGAGCCCAGGAGTGGGATTCTACCTGGTCGGACCAGTTCTATAAAACCAGTTGTTATGATTCTGCGCAGTTCAGAGAACCGGAAAATAGCACCCCTGGCTGGCCCCTCCCCTCCCCTGCCTGCCCACTCACTCCTTACCTGGCATGAGCACCATCCAACTTGTACCTTTGCCTAATTTTTGGTAAGTTGCTATTTTTCCTTCCCCCCCTCCCGACCACCAGCTATACCAACTATCAGCTGTGCCAGGAGATTTAGATTAGCTAGAAAGCAGGAAATCAAGGGGTTTATTGCCTTCTAGCTAATCTAAAAGCAGAGCTGAACCTTCCTTAGGACTGAAGCTTCTATTTCTCAGTGCAGACTCAGGCAGCAGATTGCAGAAAGGTGGATCTCTGAGCGAATCTGTGATTCTGTGAGCAACTCAATCCGCCTGACTGCTTTGCCTGATGTTGGATAAAAGTTGCTCTTTTTTTTGTAAAAAATTCAATATTTACATAAATAGTTACAATATTTACATACAAGCCATGCCCAGCCAGTCACATGATCACCAAGCCACACCTCCAAATTAGGCCACACCCACAGAACCGGTTGTTAAGAAATTTGAATCCCACCCCTGCAGGAGGCCCCTATGCTAAACTTCTGGGGCCTCCTCGATCACCTCTTCTGGAGGTCTCTCCAATCCCCGAGGAACATCTCAAGGTTGTCACTCTTGCATTCCCTCAATGTACAACCTGGTTTGCACAAAACATCCAGTCTGGTTGCGGCACACATGAGACTCCCAGGACTGGTTAACCTATTAGCTTGTTGTGCATCATAGGCTTGAAGATAGTCACTGGACCAGTTGACGAGGTGAACCAGGTTGTCCGTGCTGGTGTCCTCCAGCAAACACAACCGTCACATTCCCCCGGAGGTCTCTGAAGACCTTTTTCTCGCCGTTGTGCGGTGAATGTCGATTGTCCAGTTGTCGAATCCAGAAAAAGAAACTGCTGGGACATTATTTTCCCAAGAGCATAAACTTTACAAAAGAAGCCAAGTGGTACAGTGGCCTAAGAGGTGGAGCTCTCGCCTCACAATCAGGAAGCTGTGGATTCGGTCCTGGATAGAGGCTGATATTTCTCTCTCTGGGCACAATGGAAATATATTTGCTGAATATAGCTCATTGGCGATAGGAAGGACATCCGGCCAGTAAACACTCAGCCCAATTCCATCCTGAAAAGGATTACGGGGTCATTAAATGAAGAACAATTACAACAAAAACTTTACTAAATAAATCCACATTGGCGCAGAAGAAGTGAAACCAGCTTTGAGCTTCCTGCGCAAATGCACGCACATTTCATTTCCCCGTTCCCTGCAGGCCTCCCACAGTCCATCACATCCACCAATCACTTCTGTTCACTTTTTTGGGAACCAGCCAATCACGCTGTGGAATCTGCTCTCGGTATCCTTGAGGGGGTGGGAGCCAACAAGGCCTGGAAGCCATTCCCCCCACCCTTGCATTCCAATCCACACCCTTCCCCATTCTTCGTCAAGTTGCGAGCAAAGCGGAATATAGGTGAACATTCAAGTCAGTCTTGACAGTGAAAAGCTCACCTCTCACACTGTGAAGGTCTGGATGGGCTTTGTTCATGGCTGACATGTGATAGTTCTTGAAAAAAAATGACACTGCTGTAGCTTGTCTCAGGATCCTAAGCCCGAATCAGTATCCTGAACTCAAGCGAGCAGCTCACTGGAAAAGGACACCGGGCCTCAACCCCTCATCCTCCCACTTCCTCTCCAGGCACTCGGGTCTATATCAAACTGGAAGCCAAGTTCCAAGGCCGGGTGGCAGGGCTCTGCGGGAACTTTGACGGTGATGCGGAGAATGACTTCTCCAGCCAACAAGGCATCGTGGAACCCACGGCTGACCTCTTTGGCAACTCCTGGCGCATCAGCCTTCTGTGTCCTGAAGTCAACGCTGAGGACTTTGAACATCCCTGCACGGTACGACCTGTGATTGTGTCGGCAGGGGGGAAACTCACTCCCTGGTAGGACTGGATGAGCGTGTGTGGTTGCAAATTGAAAAATGAGATACGGGTGTTCCCACAACTCCACATCTCTCGCCCCCAGGTGAATTCTCACCGTGCAACGTGGGCTCGGAAGCGCTGCGGGATTCTCCTTCAGGATCTCTTCGCCCGTTGCCGTGAGGAGCTGCCCTGCCAACAGTTCTACGAGTGGTGTGTTTTTGATGCCTGCGGGTGAGTGAGGGTCTGCTGGAGAGGGCAGGGGCGGGAAGATGGGGACCCTGGGTAAAGCTTTCCTCCGAGGAAGAACCTGTTGTGTAGGAAGGAGAAAAGGGTTCGCCACCTAAACAAGGGGTGTCAAACTCAACTTTATTGAGGGCCGCATCGACATTGTGTTTGAACTCGAGGCGCCGGGGTGGGCATGGCCAACATGGGTGTGACCAGCTTGATGTCACTCCTGTTGGGGGCATCTGCAGTGGCCCAAGTGCTCTTCCACCAAAACTGGGCTCCCGAGCTCCATTTTCAGCTGTGACAGCCTTCTGCAACCCTCTCCCAGTGAAAACAGAGCTCAGGGGAGCCACATACGATGCTCCCGGGCTCTGCTTTTGCTGGCAGAAGCATCCTGAGCCAGTCCTTTGCTGTTTCCAGGGTGACCCTGTGGGGTCACCATATCTAAGTACCCTGAAGGCCTCTGGACCTTGAGTCTGGCACCCCCGACTTAAGCAGACAGTTCTACCTGTTTGCTGAAGCTGTTAAGCCTGGTCCTTCACCTTGGCACAGACAGGAGGTGACATGCCATCCCTGCCAACTAACCCTGGATGGGGTCACGGTCCTGTTGGAGTCTGAATCTGAGGAGGAAGGTGAATGGCTGACGGGGGGTGGGCTCCGTTGGCTGCGGAGGAAACTGGGGAAGGGCAAAGTCAGGCTGGGCAGAGCAGGGGAGAGGTAGAACAAGAGACAGGCAGTTCAGATGAAGACCAGGCCCACCGTCTCTTCATCCTAGGGCATGCATGGAAGAAGAGAGCAACATGGGTTGCATGGCTTATGGGGGAGGAAAGGGCCCTGATTCCCTTCACAAGGCACTCCTGGGGAGGGAGTTTAAAGGAGGGGCAGTTGTCGGGAACAATTGCTGAGTTTACCTAGTGTTGGCTGCTGTTATCAGAGTTCCTGGTATCCTCCCAACTGGTTTGATTTACTGCCGTGTCACTTCACTTCTGGAATGCCTTCTCTTACCCTGCCAGAGTTATTGCCTTCTTTTGCCTTGTTGGATTTATAGCTGAAAGTTTTCTGGGTTACAACGTTGGATTGGAAATATCTGCAGCCAAAGGCTGTGGCAGGTTTGCGGGAGAGTTTTTTTCTCCTGACCGGAGAAATCCACACAACCCACATTGCTCCCTTCTCTGTTCCCCCCTGCACGCCCTAGGATGAAGAGCGGGTGGGCCTGGGTCTTCCTCTGAACTCCCTCTCCCTTGTTCTCCCTCTCCCCTGCTCTGCCCAGCCAGAGTTTGCCCTTCCCCGGATTCCTCCACAGCCAACGGAGTCACATTCCCGCTCCCTGTGTCAGCTGTTCGTCTTCCTCCTCGGATTCAGACTCCGAGAGGGGCATGACTCCCCTCAGGATTAGGTTCAGCCATCGGTCTGCATTTCAAAGGCAAAGGACCCTCTTTTGAAGACAGCAAAGTCCTCCATTTTGGACTTTGAGAGGACCGCTGGTTGGAAAGGGGTCGTAGAGGCCCAATGGTGGGTTTCTCTTTTTTTTTTTTTCCTCCCAGTTTGGAGAGCGTGCTTCAAAATTTTTTGCAAGCGGTACGTGAGAACCGGTCCAAACTGGCTGAATAGCACCTCTATAGACTATTTAGCCGTGACAAAGTCACATTGGCAGGTGGTGCACCACGAGAGGGCTAGTCTACATTATGTGTGGTTTAATTTTACGCATGGCTTGAACGCTGTGTTTTTAAAATAATTCACCATGGGGTTTTATATTTCCATGCGCATTTTATAGGCCAGTGGTGGCTCCTCTTTGGGGGCTCCTGTGCCAAAAAATTGTGTGCACGCTCATGCATGCATACTCACGTGCCAGCACCCAGAAGGTAATGTGCGTGGCCCCCCTGCGCATGTGTGCATGATCCCCCCACCATCCCCTTACCTGCACTGCGTGCCTCCCAGCTGATTTTTGACCCATTTGAGACCTTTTTGGGTCTCCCAGAGGCTCGAGGGAAGCCTTTGCAGCCTTTGGAAGCCGAAAAATGGTCCCGTTTCGTCACTTCCGGTATTTCTGGAAATACAGGAAGTGATGAAACGGGCCTGTTTTTCAGCCTCCAAAGGCTGCTGAAGCTTCCTTCGAGCCTCTGGGAGACCCAAAAAGACCTGAAACGGACTGAAAACCACCTGGGAGGCAAGCGCTTGTGCAGTGAGGTAAGTTTGCCTGGGGCTTGCGTGCCGGCACAAATGGTTCTCCATGCCACCTGTGGCACACATGCCATAGGTTTGCCATCACAGTTCTAGGCTGTTCTGGTGAATTTTTATGTGTTTTGCTGTGTTTTGCCAGGCTCTGCCCAATAAATTTTATTTTTCAATTTACCCAGATCAGCAGGGTAGTGTGTGTGTGTGTGTGTGTGTGTGTGTGTGTGTGTGTGTGTACTTTCTGCCGATCTCTCTGCTGATCTGACCCCCTTCTCTGCCTCCTCTTTGCTCAGGTGTGACTCTGGAGGGGACTGCGAATGCCTCTGCACGGCTGTTGCAACTTACGCTGAGGAGTGCAACCAGCGAGGAGTCTCCGTCCGCTGGAGAAGCCAGGAACTCTGCCGTAAGCTTTGGAGGAGGCTGGGAAGGAAAGGGACCCTCTCCAAGATGGGGCAGTGGTGGGATTCCAAAGGGTTTCCTACCAGTTCCATGAGAGTCTGCTTGGCGCACGTGCATGCAGCAATCAAAAGCCGCCCTCTGGGTCAGCGCTGGGGAGGTGAGCGGTTTTTTGAGCGCAGCTGGGGCACGGCAATCCGCTCTGCCACACAAATCAGCTGAGCTAAAAAGAAGGGGAACATAGGACAGGATAGGGCAGGAGCAGGTGGGTGGGGCCAGCCAGAGGTGTAGTGATGATACTCAGCTGGTTTGCACCGGTTCGGGCAACCTGGTAGCAAAGGATTTGGCATGGGTCGCCGAACCGGTAGTATCTTCTGGCTCGCCACACCCCTAACCCAGTCGCCCCTCCCCTCCCTGCCCAGTCAGTGCTTATCACACATGCACAACATCGCACATATGCCCGACATCACTGACTGCATTCTTCCCTGCCCAGTCGCTCTTTTTTTTTCTTCTCCCGACAATCAGCTATTCCAACGATCAGCTGTGCCGGGATTCCGCTTGGTGTCTTACTGCTTCGCCCAGGAGGAAGGAAGGAGGGAGAGGAGGAGGAAGGAAGGAAAGGAAGAGGGAGGAAGGAGAGGAGGAGGGAGGAAGGAAGGAAGGAAGGGGAGGAGGAAGGAGAGGATGATCAACTGTGCCGGGATCCTCCTCGGTTTCTTACTGCTTTGCCCAGGAGGGAGGGAGGGAGGGAGGGAGGGAGGGAGGAAGGAAGGAAGGAAG